ACTTGAATAACAATGGTACAGATGCCAAAATCATTTTCATGCGAGAATTAAGAGGACAACTCATACCTTTAGGAAAAAACACTAAGTTCAGTTGACCATCTTTCTACATTCCTGACTTATGTAGCCACCAACTGCCCCCTCATAGTAGAAATAGAAATTTAAATGTTCATAGAGTGCAGATCTTCTTTGTAAATTGTCAACTTCCCGATTTGAACATTTATAGTTTTTGGGTGTGGTGCACACAACTTTTTACACTTGATTATGACATCAAATGTTTCTGAAATCTCATTCACAAAAACACAGTGAAGGATTTTCTGGGCTAACTATGCTGTCTCAGATTCAATTAAAACCAGTCTTAATGTGAAACTTCGATCAAAAGTTTAGATTTCAAGACTCATAAAGTCAAGAAATATGTCAATTTCAGTAGCTTCACTGGAAATAAGGTCAAAATAAAGGAAGACAAACGCAAATGCTAAATAAATGTAAACTATTTTATGCTCTTTGGGTTGATTTTCCCCCCCCAAAATGTCTAGGTAACTGTGAACATAAATTCATTTTCATTTGTACAGAAATTTCAGCAGTATAAATACTTTTCCAAGATACTGTCCCATTTACAGTTAAATTCAGATTAACTAAATAATGCCATTCAGAATAAAATATTTTAAATGTTATAAAAATATTTTATCTGGTTTAAGTTTTTTCTTTTTATTTCCTACATCTCTGTAGTCTCTGTATCTGCACTGTTTTCAATTACCTTTAATAGATGGGAAAAAAGTTGCAGCGATCCTGAAAATACACACACAAATGCCCACACACACAATATAATCTCAAATTGTACAAATATATGAACAAGACAAGTTATCCATTAAGTATCCACATCCTCTGTTCTACATCATCCCAAGGTATTCCCAGGGCTAGTACATCATTTAAAGAACATCCCTGTGAAAATTAAAAAGGTAGATTTTTTTTCCCCAGTTCCACTGAATGATACAAAATATCACTGTTCTTCATATGAATAAGTTATTTCCTGCCAGACCATGTCCCTTTCATCTATCTGGTTTAAATCTCTTAGGGTTGGGAGAGCTCTGCATACTCCTTAATTGATGAGACACAGATCAGGTTATCCTGGAATATGTGCCTAAACAGGCCTGATAGATGGGATATGGAATACATTTCCTCAGCAGAACAGAGAACGGCACTACTATTACCAGAAATACCCACACTATGCTCCCAGTTAAGTGATTTGAGGACTTCATACTGCCAACGTTTCATATCCGCTCTTGCTAACTGACACTTTATCTGCATACCGGCATCTCTGCAGATTGAACACTTAGGCAAGACAATGACAGGCTCTCTTCCTGTTGTCACTTCTCATATAGGGCCAAGTCTAATGCTGCTTGCTGGGCTCCTGCCAATAGAAGACCCCCCACCCCTTCGTACTCCTCCTCCCATCACCATCAAACAACCAAACTCTACCTAGCCTGGTTAGAAAAGGAGCACTTGATGTCTGTGACACTCATTTGTCAATTAGCAGGCCCCTTCCAGTGTTGACATACAGCAACTTGAAAGACAGAGTGCCGTCTGTGACGAATTAAAGGAGACAGATGAGTGAGGCTTGAGCGGTGGAGTAATACTATAATGTTCCTCAGATATGAATATAAAACGACACAGTTGACAGGCCATACAAGGTTTTATTTCATTTCTCAGTGTTCCAGGCCTCCCTACTTTGTCTTCTTTGTTCTCTTTTCATCAGACTACTTACATCTCATTTTGACAGCCGGGCGACATTTAGAGCACTTTCGTTTTAAAATGCGAGTTAGCATACTTGATTTGTCATTAAAATGCAAAACGCCTGCCATCACCAACATGGCCTGGGTGAACACAAACTCCGTTAGACACACACCAAGACAGACATAGACATACACATAGTCAAACGTTTTGTGTGTTTGTATCTATTGTATGTCTTTAAAATGTTAAAAAGGGAAATTATATTGTGAGTTGTGCTGCATACAAACCAGCTTGGTTAATGGGTATGTTTAAGATCAATGGGATTAGCAATTAAATGGTTTTGGATGGATTCCTTTGGTTCTTAATGTCCACAATTGATGTATATTGATATAGGTGGCCAAGACAGTAAAGCTCACATAAAATGGCAAAAACAACATGATCATTGAAAACATAATGAGCAAAGAGCACGTGGGTTTATCACACACTGCTATGATTGCACAAATCAAAAATACCGGAAGTTAATGTTTTTCTTAGAACTGTGTCAAGGTGGTAGCTTTCAAAGCGAAATAAATTTAGGAGGTTAAAACTTCTTCCCTCTATTTAGTATTTGCACATCTAAGCAAAAGTCAGTGATCTTTGTCTGCTTTTGCCTTGATGGAAAACAAATCATCTTGAAAACTATTTTTTTTTAAATATATTTTCAGACTGAAAAACTAATGAATCTGAGGAAGATAAAACAAAAATTCTCAATATTTGATCTACTAAAAACAGGACAAAAACTACGGGTGTATTGAAAACAAAACTGATCCTCCTCTTGTACTTGCATGTGGAAAGAGCTTAAGCAAACTATATTCTATACTTCGACAGATTCCTAAACAGATTTTTAGAGACATTATTTCTCTTGCAGTCTGAAGGTTTTTATGCCAACAATGGAGTCAGTGAACAATTAGCTAATTGAGGAGTTAGCAAAACAGCGTCTTAAAATTTTCATTCACCTTACATAACACACTCATTTGTTTTGTTTACTTAGATGAATAAAGTTTTCAAGTGAATGGCTTCAAGAGAGAGACCACTGTAAATAAAACAAAACAAAATATAAGTATGAATTTCCAAGACGTCGCATTTAAAAGAAAACTTTATTTTTCTGCTATTTAGGCCTGGAATAGCTCAGCATGAATTTCCATCTAGTTGCATAAACAATAGTCTGTGCATTGTGTGGCTCATATTGAAAAAATACTAATAATAAATTGTGAATGTTTTTAAGGGTTTACCAAGGCGATTTGTTTGTAAAGAGACATTGTAAATAAAAGCATCACCGTTAGTATCATGTGTGATAGACACAGACATGTGTCTTCCTCAATCCGAATGTGTCCAGGGTGATAACACTGAATGTAACAGATGCAGGCACTGAAAGTGCACTCCAGTCACAGGGAGAACTTATGTCAATGCAGCACATGCCACCTCGCTGCAATGTGTACACACCTGACCTGGAACAAAGTGGACAACACAACCCTAACCAAGCCCGTCCCGAAACAGAAATCTCACCGTGAGCCACACTTCTCAACACATTGATGAGACAGGATGACACCACAGCACACCGAGGCAGAGGTGTGGGTGTGACAGCCCACTGCCATAATTTCATCCTGCCATTACCTGCCCAGCCACTCACAATTGTACTCCCAGAGACAGATCCACACGAGCACAGGTGCACAAGCCTACACAGGAACCAAGCATATGTACAGCACACCAAAACACACAGGACTCCGTTAAAGATGGAGACAGCTCCTTGCTTCTCATTGCGACTCATTGTCAGCTTGCCGGATGATTGTTGTCAATTGAACTGACAGAAATAAGCGTATTAGCTACAACAAGCTCTGGCAATGTCTCCCTCTCGATTTGACTTGAGCAGCAAGAAGAAGTGCATAATGCTAAAGGCAGTCCACTGAGTTTGCCTAAGATGTGCATCTATTTACACCTGGTGTACTAGAGCTGACAATGAAATGAAGTCGTGGTGTCAATATGAGAACATCTCCCCTGTCTGACAAGAGTTGTCAGTTCAATTTGAAATGATGCTTAAATAAAGAATTTCATACACTTGTTTGATGTGTCAATGTTCACTCCCTTACCTAGATCAAATGTGAACAGTAGAACTTTATATGATTGATGAAATTAAAAATTATAAATATAATACAAGCAATTATTCAGTCAATAATGTGCATTTGTGAAAGTATATAAATATTAGTATACATAAATAACCAGAAAACATTATATTCTTTTCCAAGCTAAACAATTAAAACTCCACAATATGTAATATTCATCTTACAAACAGGCTTAAAATAGATATGAAATATTCTTAGTGCCGAAAACAAACCTATTTAGGAGCTTTCTGTTAAATTCCCCAAAACAAGATAAATAAATAAATGGATAAATAAATAAATGGATGGGTAAGTGGACTTAAAGGAGGGGTGTTAGTCGGTAGGACTCTGGCCTCAAATTTGGGACATTCAATATGTTGGACTGGATTAGCCCAACACTCTAATGTATCTGAAGTTTCCCAGAAGACACACAGCTCGCATAATGTTAAATTTGATGTTTAGACAATCAAAAAGCGAGGTGATGGGAACATGGACGGAAATACAAAATTCAAAACTGCTGCCAAGGCGCACCAAGAGTCTGGAAGACATCATATTGCTGCGTTGTCATGTTGTTTTTTTCTCAATTAAAAAGAGTCCACAAACTGCCGTCATTGCTTCTTCTTCATCGGCCATGTTTATTTACCCTGAACTCATGTTTGATCTCAAGAAGTTTTACGAGTTTTCCCATCTAACACTTGAAGGTTATAGAAAGTAACAACGTAAATAAATAAAAAGCTGTGTCCTCTGGTGTACCTTATAGTCTGCCAGGCATGATAAAAGTTGAGCAACCTAATGTTTTCATCTTCTATTTGAGAGTTAAGCTGTGCAAGGCCTGCTGTTGAAATGGCAGCCTCCTCTGGACCAGCTCTGATAAGATGCTGGCCCACATCTCAATCAAGGAATTGTCCTGTTTTTCCCTTTATCTAACATGTCAAATTTATTGCTGGTGATTATTTACTGTACACATTACATTATTTCTACCCCTCATCCATGCCGTTTGTCCTGATCACACTCTGGCCACCAATGGACTAGGTTTTAAACTTTCAACTGCAACTGATGGTACATTTCTGCCACTAAACACAACAAAGCAGGTAAATACGATGGATGTGCATGATGTATTCACTCAAACTTTCTTACCTGAGCTGATTGAAGCTCAGATCCAGTCGTCTTGCAAACTTGCCGTACGCCTCTCCAAGAAAGTGGGGCATGTCTGTAGAGTCGTGTCCAATATATGATATCTTTGAGAGTAATGAAGAACAAAAACAGTAGTGAGAGAGAACTTTCTTTATATTAGTAACATTTCAAAATAATATAGGCGATATTTCATAAGTTCCATTTTAAGCTACCGTACACAATGTGTGAATTTTTCCAACAGCTGCTCTTTTGTTTGCGACAGGTGTAGGTTTTTAGTTTTTTGTATTGTTCTCTTAAAGGTGTGAAGAGATAAATATGGCGCAGACTATCCACCATATTTTGTGGTGCATAGTTTGGTGCTGAAAGATGCAAGAGGAGGAGCAGTTAACTACAGGAACTGAAACATGAAAAACAAAAGTTCTGTCAATATTCTGAGCCAGTCACATAAAAGTAACAGGGATGCCAATAGGACCAGCTGAAATGTTGGTCACACCAGTCATGGCTCTGTTACATTTTTATTGTGACACTTGCCTATCTGTTACCTTAGTGTACCAACAGTATATTTCACGATTTGTCTGACATAATTATGCCGCCACAGTCATGCACTCTGTCCGGTTAAGCTGCAAAACGAACTGAAAAGTGAAAGCCATGTGCGTAATGCCAACAAGCGCGTCACATGACAGCAGAGGGAGCGAAAAACAAACTGACAATCAAATTGTATTCGTAAATTAAACGCTAGTTTAAAAGACGCCGAATAAAGCTGGACTTAGAGGAGGAGGAGGAGCTCGGACGGTGAAAGTTTTCAGTACAGACTTACTTGAGTCCCATTTAAAACGACCGGTGACTCCCTCTGAGCCATGACGTCCTCCTGAGGATGACAGTTCGGAGTTTGTTTGTTTGTATTTTTTTTTTAAGCAGTGGGAGTCAGAGCATGTATTCCTCCCCTCACGTTGTTGACATCCAGTATTGATTCCTGTGAATGTGGCGCTGTTGCTTTGCAGGTTCTTCAGACGCTTCACAATTGGCTTTTACTGTTTCCGCGTGCCGCTTGAATCAGCTGACCCGCTGTGTTGCGGAAGCACACGATCACTGCTTGTTAACTCATAAAACCTCAGTGCTGCTGACTGTCTCCTGACGACTCCATCTATTCTCCCAAGAACATGGCGTTTACTGTCAATTGTCATGGCTCGCCTTTTGTTCTACCTGCGCACTCCCACCTGTTCTAAAGAAAAAAGGCAAAGGCAATATTATGAAGACAGTTAAAGACACAGGAAACACCTACATGAGGGTCAAAACGCATTCCCAGTGAGCCACGCCTGGTCATTTTACCAACTTTTCAGAGAATGCAGATATGACAGTATCAGAGAAAATTTACTTCATCTCCGTAATTATATTTTAAAAGTTAAAATAGAATACTTTATGTATTAAGCAGGTGTGGAGGATTCTAGTATTTATTTTTAATTTTTGTATACACTGGTTTAGGGTGCATTATAGCCAGGGCCGGATATAGGTGGTTCTGGGCCTCAGGTGTAGAACCAGTTTCAGTCCCCTACCCACAAGATTTTTTTTTTTTTTTTTTTTTTTTTTTGTCCACATAGAAATAGGCTAGAAATAGGCTATTTCCTAAATAATATTTATATTTATACTACATTATTTTGAAAATGTCTTCATCCAGAAATGCAAGGTTTATGCAGAGTTACTATGTTTATTTGTACATCTGCACATTTACCTTTAGTCTTTTGGATCACTGCAGTAATGTTTTCACAGATCTGCCTAAAAAAATCAGACAGTTGCAGTTGACCCGAAACGGTGCTGCTTGGATTGTAACTAAAACCAGGAAAGTGGAGCACATCACCCAAGCTTTAAAGAGCATACACTGGCTCCTTGCAACTCAGAACATAATACTTTGTTACTTTATAAATCACCAGATGGTTTAGCACCAAAATAGATCGGCTCTACCCCCACAAGAGTTGATGTAAGGAAAACTGTTGGTGTTAGCTTCTGCTGTAGTGCTGGATGGTTCCACTCTGGATTAATGTGCACATAAAGGCACACTTTGGATTTGAATTATTAAAATAGACAGGTGGGTCCCCTCCTCTCAGAGGGGTCCGAAGTAATCACGTTTTTTTTTTAGCTATTCGCGGACTGTTGTGGTCCCAAGCCCTCACAAATACCATGCATCCACTGCAGCTATAATCTACAGATTAAGTAGGCCTATTCTTGTTCTTAGTACTGTTGCCTTGTTGATTACCATTACATCTCTCAATGATCAATGACAGCCATTGGTCATTGAGACAATCCAACTTGTGGCAATGTTATGTAAAGTCAACTATTTTGAGCCTTACATCATGTTATGTTGTGTTATGTTATTTCATCATCCCCTCATAAAAAATGTACCTTGATGTTTGCTTTGATTCTTTCCTACTAAAGCCTTCCTACTTTGAGCTCCAATTTACATCAAGCTACTGAGCTTCTGCACCACAAAGCACCTCTCATCCACAACTACCCCAATCAGCTCCTTCAGACTAGACAGCAGCAATTAGCAAACTCTTGGTAGAGCTGGGATCTGCTGAACTCATACATGGCTAGTGAAAATGTTGTTAAAAGGTCAGTAGAGGAGAGATGCTCTGGTGACATTCTGAAAGCAAAGTTTCAGAAACAGGATTAATTTTTAAAGAGACAGAGGCCCAATATTAATTTATTACATGAATTTTTTTTTACATCATATTTGATTTAGCATTTTTATAACAACTGCAGGTAACATAGTTACTCGATAGTGCAATAAAATAAAACTATGTTCCTGGAAAATACTGAATATCGCCCCTTCAAGTGTCTGGCAGGCATTCAGTATTTGTAGTAAGAACAAAAAACCTGTGAAACAAACAGTGTACTCTTCCTATATCAGAACACTACAATCATCTTCCAAAACAACTGCAAACATAATAATCATCACTAATAATCTAATGTGCAATCTTTTTGACATTTTGTACAGTATTTGCACTTGCACCATAAACACAAGGCAAACATAAAGTCGCGAGTGAGTAACCTATTACATATGAATTACACATTGGCACGTTAATCCTGCAGTTTTGTTGCAGCGACACGTGAGAAACACCAGAAAGTTTCTGAGCGGATGTTTCTTCTGCTTTTCTGAGTGCCCCGTGACGTCACCCGAAACCTCCCTCCCACTCGCGGAAAAGCTCATTTTCTCCCTCTTCTCTTCCTTCTGCTGGAGCGGAGGGAGTCTGCATGGCTTCAGTCCTCTGTCGCTTCTGTCGGCGCGTCATGGGCGACAGAAAGCCGGTTTGACTCATGCATGAATAGAACGAAAGAAAGAAAGAGAAAACACCTCATTTGAATCAAACGGAGTATCTTGAAATGCTATAGCGTTGTTGTTTTTTGTTGTCCTTTTTTTGTTACCTCTTACCTCTGCGTCGGAGCGTATAGTAAGGTAATGTCATATCACGGACTTTAAAGTTATTGTCATTTATCGTTGGAGTTTTACTTATGAAAGAAGGACATAGAAAACACGTAGCGTAAGTTTTTTTTTTTTTTTTTTTTTTTGTAGCGCGCTGTTTCATTTTGTCTCACAAATATAAAGTTGCGTGTAGCCTATAGTCGTATTTTGGTTACATTGATTTTGACGTTTCAAACTAAAATATTAATTTAGAAAGTGCCAAGAGAATACCTTTTTCCACATTTCCAGTACTCAGCAGCACACAAATGTGACTCAGAACAATTTATGAAAGCTTTAACAAAGTTATTTTAATAGTGAATCCTGATCGCCGGCCCATCACGCAGCTCCCATGTAATCCTGCAACTCCCAATATATTTCCTCTCGAGATGTAAATAGTTGCATTTGCATGCGATGCAATTCATAAACATGTCAGCGTGTGGCGAAATATATGGCGGTGGAGGGATATTAAAACTTTCTATTTAAATATGGTGAATTATGGTCGCGATAAATGTGTTCCCATTTAAGAGGAATGCCGAGCATTTTGGTGTCTGGTGCAGGAGCCCCATTTGTCATGCGGACAATAAAGAGGGTTTTCGCCTGACAGTGAAAATTTATGGTCGCCCTTCTTTGCCCTAATAATTCACATATTGTGTCAGGCACTGACATCCCTCGCAGAAAACAGCAAGGCTGTTATCAATCACACATCTTTGCATATTATGAAACGCTCCACTGTTTTTTTTTTTTTCGCAGAAAGAAACAGAAGTAAAAACATTTTGTGAAGGAACATCTCTGTTTTGCATATATATATATATATATATATATATATATATATATATATATATATATATATATATATATATATATATATATATATATATATATATATATACATACTCACACAAAAACGTGCTATCCTGAAACTTCATAATTACGACTCAGTGATATTCTTGTTATTATCACAGGCCTTAATTTAAATATTACGTTTTTTCCATCTCCTTTAAGTTTCACCGATTAGTTAATTTTTTTTTTTACTAACATGTTTGCTTGTGTATGTATTTATTTATTTATCTTTAGCTTTTTAAGCCGAATTTACCCTCGTTCACTGTCCACTCCAGGTTTTCTTGCTCTCCAAGTCGACCTGTCAAGCAGATTACCACAGAACGAGATTAATGGCAGAGGCGGGTTGCAATAATAATCGTTTTGTTTGATGTGACAACTTTGATAGGCGTTGATTTACTTACAAACTGATAGGCTTTTAATTGAGCGCCTCCATCCCCCGATTGAGATGAAAGGGAAAACCACATTGAAAAGCTGCCCGATTGCCCCGGAGTCTCAATACTGATTAGCCATCTCAGCGGTGAATAGTTCAAGGCATTTTAAACTTCTCCCCCCACACCCTCCCCCCTTCTTCCTCTCCTTTCTCTGAACGGCCTGACAGACCATCTCTCTTCTTTTCTTTCTCTCCTCAACGCTTTTTTTTTTTTTTTTTTAGCCCTCTAAAGAAAATAAATCATTTCCATTGTATGCAAATAAAATAGAGCTGGCATCACAATAAAAAATGTCTGGGTGTCTTATTGTTATTATTATTATCATTATGATTAATTTGTAGTGTTGCGCGTCTGTCGTTTCAGCAGATGACAGGTTTCAGCAACACAAAAGATGCGTTTGGTCAAAAATGACAAGGGCGTTTAGACTGGGAAAACAGTGAAGGTAACACATTGTGTTTTTTTGTTTTGTTGTTTGTTTTTTTTTTTTAAAGATATAACTAAAGGTTTATTCCCCCACTTTAACTAAAACTTATTTGCAGGAAGTAACTTAATAATAAGCTTAACCCCACACATTTTTTTTTTGCAATCCATCTTTATTGCCCTTTGTTTCCTTAACTCTACAACATTTAACGGTGTTAGTGTTATTTCTCCCCCAAAGCTTCTTGTTAACACCATAATCGGCCGATTATAGCAAAAGTATTTTCGCACCTGGAATCACGACCAGCTCCTGCACAACACGTGAGCGAGACTGTCTGCAAGTTATTAAAGTTTCATCATGTACACACACACACACACACACACACACACACACACACACACACACACACACACACACACACACACACACACACACACACACACACACACACACACACACACCACCTTCGAGGTGTTTCACCAAGAACTCCGAAAGTCACAGGCGCGATTTAATGAAGGTGCTTTTTTGTTTGTCTCCCTCAGATAAATCTGAAATGAGGACGCGCGTTTTAACAGGAAACTAAACGAGTCGATGCGACTCTGCAGATGATGATAATAGTAATAACAACAACAATAATAATAACAAAAACTTAGTTTCTCTTGAACTGCGTCTCTCCGTTTGTTCTCTTTTCACTTCGCCAGCAGCAACACTTGCATGTAATCAGCCACAATAGCTGACATAAATCAAGCGATGGATTGACAGCGCCTGACAAATAACTGATTGATTGCGGCGGAGCAGAATTGACACTTGACGGAGGGGTGGAGATAGAAATAGAAGGGCGGTGTATATTATACTGAAAACATGTGACATTCGCATCCCTCCATCACTGCATTGGTCTATTCCTGTCAACGCTTGTCTGTTTAGGGAATTTAAGTCGAAGCGGTTGGTTTGATGGTTGTCGGTGGATGAGGCGGAAAGTCCATGAATCGGAAAGACCTCCTGGCAAAACTCACAAGATCCAACACGGTGGGAATGAGAAGTAGTTTCGTGACTGTTATTGGAGCAACGAACTGCTTGGTTGGTGATGAAATCATGAAATCACAACAATCTATAAGATGAAAAAAAAAAAAAAAAACTAAAACAACAACAACAACAAAACAGCTGTGATATCACGCTTTCTGTGACCAAAACCAATTTCTGAGGTCTGACCTGGTGATTCAGATCTTGACGGCTTCTTTTCAATTTAATTTAGCAAGTACCAAACCTGATAGTTAAAAAAAAAAAGCCAAAAACGATGAAGAAAATAAAATGAATGTAAATCATCAAAACAGAAGTTGGATGTTTAACTAATTGACTCAAAATGTTTTGGATATTTAGTTTATAATTATTATTATTTTTGAACGTGACAAATATAACAACTTGTGTTCTAGAGAGAAAACAAAGTTTTAAACCTTCAGACTCTGTGGATCCTCCACACCAACAGGGGGCTCCCAAGAGTACCACAATAGTTACACAAATAATTTATAAATATAAATCACATTAATTGATTCATAAATTCAAGACTTCGTACTCAAAATGTCTGATGTAAAGTGCATTAATTGTGTTATTTCTGACAAATTATGTAAGATCTGGTTTATTATTCTATGTAGAAATAAAATAAACAAATAAATATGATTTGGGATAAAAGCCATAAAACGTTTCTGAAATGGTGTCAAAACTACACATATCTTTCCTCCCTCTGAAAACTACGATTAATAAATATATAGTTTGTGTCAGTGGAACGTGTAAAAATATGTATTGATTGAAATCTAGAATTAGGAATGTTTTATTGTCATTTGTGTCATTATAGGCGCTACCCCCCCCATTCCCACCCGACCCCCTCTAGCAGCGGCACTGGGATTGGCACTAGCCAAGCTCCATGTCTCCTTAACTTCAGGGACAGGCGTTCACAGCAACCATAATATTTTTTCCCCCTATCTCCTCCCCCGAGCTGTCAAAACAGAGGCGCTTACAAAGAGGAGAACGTCACATCCCCTTGACCCTCCAATCACCTCAGGGTCCCATTTGATTGGAAGGCGGCAAAGGCTTTAATCTCGGACTAATTCAGCTGCTTTTGAAGTGAAAATTTCTACCAGTTCGTGCTTCGGGAGTACAGAGCGAGGACCTGCAGACAGACGCGCACACACGGGGCGCAGCGCTTTCGGTACAGGACGCAGCTGCGGATCTGCGATAACCTCTCACTGGTCTCCTTCCCTTCCAAGCTGCCGCGCCTTGCAGCCTCCTCTCCAACCAGGGATTACATATTACCGAGGCGTTTTGCGATCCTTTTACTCGTTTCTCTCGACAGAAAAAAGACTTTCTAGCTTTTTTTTTCTGTTTGTCTTACGTTTTTGGTGCTGGTTTTTCTTAATGAATCTGATGAATGCATCGCCGTTTCATTTCCTGACTGTTGGGACATGATCACGTCGCCTTCGGCGTCTGCCCTGAAAAATAGTGAAATTTGTGTCGTGTGGGAAAGCAGCAGCAGCAGCAGCGGCGGCGGCGGCGGCAGCAGCAGCAGTTCTCGGAATAGCAGCATCAACAAGCCCTTTCTTCACTCCGCACCACCGTCCGATCCACTACGGCAAGCGAGCCGACTTCCCATCAAGGTTTTGAAAATGCTCACTGCACGGTCTGGACACATTTTGCATCCGGAGTATCTGCAACCTCTGCCTTCCACCCCAGTTAGTCCGATAGAGGTAAGACGACCATTAAAAAATATGTTCTTAAATGTATTTAGACTTGAGATTTGTTTGTGTCTTCTCATATCACGCGAAATATTTGGATCGAAATTATTTTTTTTCTAGTGAAATACACTTGTACTCGGTGTGAAATTCAGCAAAGTTCTACATAGAAATATAAAGGACTATATTTTATATGTTCGTTTTAATTTTGCAGCTCGATGCCAAGAAAAGTCCGTTGGCTCTGCTGGCGCAGACCTGCTCTCAGATCGGCAAGCCGGACCCGCCGCCCTCCTCTAAACTCTCCTCTGTGACGCCGAACGGATCTAGCGAGAAGGAATCTAAATCTGGCCCCCTGAAGCTGAGCGACATCGGCGTGGACGACAAGTCCAGCTTCAAACCTTACTCCAAGCCGACGGACAAGAAGGACTCGTCCTCGGGCGTCTCGGCGGGGGAGAAGTCCGGTTTCCGAGTGCCGAGCGCCACCTGCCAGCCGTTCACGCCGCGGACTGGCAGCCCCAATTCCAGCACCTCCGCCTCTCCCATGCCGTCGGAGGGGAAATGCGGGGAGAGAGACGAGAAGAAGGAGTCTGACTGTAACAAAAACGGCACGGCGGACGGCTCTGGCACCACCAGCCACAGCAGGATAAGCGTGAGCTGCGGTGGAATTAACGTGGAGGTTAACCAACATCAGGAGGCGACCCCTGGCACCAAAACGTCCTCCTCATCTTCCTCGGAGTCTTCCTCTGTCACCTCCGTATCCTCCGCGTCCGTTCTCGGGTCAGGACTCGTTGCGCCAGTTTCCCCTTACAAGCCGGGACAAACAGTGTTCCCTTTGCCCCCTGCTGGCATGACCTACCCTGGCAGTTTGGCCGGGGCCTATGCTGGTTACCCTCAGCACTTCCTGCCCCACGGAGGAAGCTTGGTAAACGCACAGCTGGCCAGCTCGCTGGGCTGCAGCAAGGCTGGATCCAGCCCTCTGGCCGGAGCTTCTCCCCCGTCCATCATGTCAGCCAGCCTGTGCAGAGATCCTTACTGCCTCAGTTACCATTGTGCCAGCCACTTAGCGGGCGCAGCCGGTGCTACCTGCACACACGACTCTGCGGCCGCAGCCGCCGCCAGCGCCCTCAAGTCCAGCTACCCATTAATGTACCCCACGCACCCCATCCACGGCGTCCACTCCACCGCGCCGTCATTCAGCGGACACCCCCTGTATCCCTACGGATTCATGCTCCCCAATGACCCCCTCCCACACGTTTGTAATTGGGTGTCGGCAAATGGACCGTGCGACAAGCGCTTCTCCAGCTCAGAGGAGCTGCTGAACCACCTAAGGACACACACTGCTTTTACCGGGGCGGAGAAGTTAATATCGGGCTACCCGGGCTCCTCATCGCTGGCCAGCGCCGCAGCAGCGGCCATGGCCTGCCATATGCATATGCCACCGTCAGGAGCTCCAGGGAGTCCCGGGACTTTGGCTCTCAGGAGCCCGCACCACGCGTTAGGACTTAGCAGCCGCTACCATCCGTACTCTAAAAGTCCCCTGCCGACCCCCGGCGCCCCTGTCCCGGTCCCCGCCGCCACTGGCCCCTACTACTCCCCGTATGCACTGTATGGACAGAGACTCACCACAGCGTCTGCGCTGGGATATCAGTGAGGAAGGAAAAAAAAGGACTTCGCAAAGTTTATAATACTAAGAATGCAAATATAAAGACTTTTATATTAACTGCGCTAAACTTATGGACGGGATCCGTGGACTTGAACTGTATTTATTTATATGTCGGGCTTAAAGCAGGCGGTAACAGCTGCGTAATGGGGAGGGGAAAAAAAGAGCAACTCAAAAAGTGCATTATGTTGAAGCTGAATTCTATAGGTAAAAATGAAAACACGCATATGTTAGAAAGCCTAACAAACGTAGGGATCTTCATTTCGATGTTCATTTCAAATTGCTATGATTGTATTTGTTCTTATTTAATGTCTCATCGAGAAGAAAAAAAATAATAATTTACATGCATGTCTGTTTCTTAAAATTTCAAAACATGTCCACATTTAAATTTCCCGTTATTTTTCAGGTGATGGAAAGAGATATTGGTATTTTTTT